TTTCGTCACAAGTACCTTGAGGACAGTGGTTGGTGCCCACCTCAAGGTATCAGTTGTCAGATAGTTGTTGATGCGTAACCACAAAAGGGGTTTAGGTGGAGTATCACTTACAGTGTAATCAGTTAGGGGATTTTGCAGACAGATGAGGGTTCAACCTCCTGATGAGTCGGTGAAACTCCGACGAAACAGTTCACCACAATCCCTCGTTTGTTGTCCTCTTCCCCCTCTCTGCCTACAGTCTACCAGACAACTTTGTTTGACGATAGCATGATATATATATAGATAGATATATGATTAATTACAAAGAAATGTTGGTCACAAAATAACGGATTTTTTATTAGTAGTTGCGATCAATATGCCATATCATTTGGCTCAATGGAGTAGGTGTGAAAAAAAATACTCATTCGTTACAGTTATGTCTATGGTATTGTGATAACAACTTCCTTTATAATCATGAGGAATTATGAATAATCATTGCCGCAAACAATGATATCATCATTTAATCAAATAGTGGTTATTTATCATTGGATCACAATATGTAATAAAAGTATTACAATTCGTAATTACTATAAAAAACTAGTAAAAAATACATAATCAAAATATTTATCATGTACAAAATAACCTTATAAAACTTAAACTTATTTTATATCATTGATAAGCTGAATAAAAATAAATTTTGTTAATTTATACTGCAATAAATTATTATAAAAAAATAGATCGTCTCAATAGTAAAAAAGGTCGCTTAATAAAATTTAGTAAGATAGTTGTTTGGGATTGTAACAAAGTTTTACCACCATGTAAATTATCGCTAAGCTCTAAGATTGTTAAATTGTTATTCCTCACCACTTCGCTTATTTCAAATGTGCCTCAAGTATCATTCAAATCAAAATTTTGATTGCATCATAGTGTTTACTGTATTTATAGCATCTTTAATTTTTAAAACAACACCTTAACTGCTCAAATGTAAAAAATTATCATGGGCCTTGTCTGAAAACTTATTGGTAGGGTTTTTATATGATTTCGTTTCCCTTATTGTATTTTTAGCACACTTAGATTATCAATGCATCATGTTATTACTCTCTGAAATTAACCTCTTCGATTCTTAAACCGCTAGTACCTCTTCACGACTAAAATACATTATCCGCCGATTAACACAGAGACCGGCCTCGGGCACGTGCGCCACCTAGATACATCCCAAATGCTTGGTGCGCAAGACCCTCGGCCGACATATGCGAAAGATACTGACGGTTTAAATATTGATTCTATGTCATTATCAAGGTGGTTAAAAAACCCTATAATAATTTTTTTATTATTTGGACGAACAAATGTCGCTCATTTTATTTTTTACAAAACCAAAGTATTTATTATGGGTCAGTGTCCAAGTCAAAAATACATTAAATGTAATACAAAAAGAAAAGCAGGGGTGGCAGGGCCTCTATCTTCCACTGTGCGTAAAGCCATACCTATGCAACAAAAAACAACTGTAAAAAATAGATAAATTATAAGGACAACTGATGAAAAATAACCAAAGGGGACTAGAGAAAAAAAAGACAAAAACAAAGGTAAAGTGAAAAACCTAAAGTAAAAGTGAAGTAAGAAAAAGGCACAGAATGCTATCCTAAAGTCCTAAAATCCTAGTACAATTATCCGAAGTAGTCGATGGAATGTGACCCATACTAACAACAATAATAGGTAAACAAGGTATACAACAACAAAGAAAAAGAACAATGTACCAAAGCTTCAAAAGTTCAAAATATGATTGTCATAAGTACTCAAAAAGGTTCCAAAGAGAGCTGACTGTACAATCGCAACTGTTGAAAATAAGATGGGTTTTGCCCTTTCATCGACTTACTAAACAAGTAGAGTACCTCGTACAACAGGTTTTGTAACCAAAGATTACTTGTTTTAGAAGGTAGCGACTCCATTGTAGACTTTTCTCCTCTTCGTTTGCAAAGACAATATGAAACATCTACAAGGAATCTTTGTTTACAAAATTTGCTGCAGGAGTAGGTACGTTTATCCTTATCCGTAATTATTTTACGAGGATCTGGGCAGAAGTAAGGACTTTGATCCTACTCACTTCACTGAAACACGACCTAGGTCCTTCGGGACATCCGTTAAAATTGGAACGATAAGAGAAGATTAGCATGGCCCCTGCGCAAGGATGACACGCATAAATCGAGAAATGAAACACGACCTAGAAACTAAGACCTTACCAATGGGAGCTGGCCTATTTTTCATATGCTCCTATCAGGACATGTTAAACTGTCCCAGATGGCCCTGTACTTCTGGCGGTTGGACCCTTGGGGTCAAAACTACAGCCCCACTCTTGAGTGGTACGGTGCATATGGGAGCTGGCCTATTTTTCATATGCCCCTATCGGGACATGTTCAACTGTCCCAGATGCCCCTGTACTTCTGGCGGTTGGGATCTTGGTATCAAAACTACAGCTCCCCTCTTCAGTGGTACGGTGCATATTTCGCATATGGGAGCTGGTCTGTTTTTCATATGCCCTTATCGGGACATGTTCAACTGTCCCAGATGCCCCTGTACTCCAAAACACATGAGTACAGCCCGCCTCTTCAGTGGGACGAGGAATATTTCGCATATGTCCCTACCGGGCCTGTTCAACTCGTCCAGGGCACTTCTGGCTGTTGAACCCTTCGAATCGAAACATTGCCGTTCTTGGCAGCGCTCCCGGTAGGGGACGATTTTTGGTCTGCGCCCTCGTTCGACAGTCCCCATGTGTTTTTTTTTTTTTTTTTTTTTTTTTGGGAAGTCCCCATGTTCACAGGCTCTGCAAGTAACACTCGCGGCAATCCACACACTACGATTTCTTCGACGCAAATGTGGACGTTATTGCCGTCAGATGCATCCACGTCGGGCCATAATCGCACTCCGATAGATGCAGAAAAGTGGGGCTGTAGTTTTTATATAGTTTTGATACTGTGTCCAGCAGATCATTCGTAGCCCACGGGGGTAAGGAGGACGGAGGTGGTCGCAATGGCAGCAGGAGCAGGAGGACGTGATGGCGGGTGGTATGCCACGGGCAAATGGGTACAGGGGTGGAGGTGGAGTCTTCTCCTCCCTCAAGGCATCGAGTGATTGCACCTTCTCTTCCTGACAGACAACAAAACGGTTCTTCTTCCCATGGATCCCATCGATAATCGCACCTTTTCGAAAAGGGCGGGGAACGGAATGCAACACATATCACACGATCACACCGTCAACATAAAATTCACCTGACTTGTCTACAAATACGCGGAGCAGGCGGGAGAGAGAGAGAGAGAGAGAGAGAGAGAGAGAGAGAGAGCACGCTCTA